CAAATTATTTAAATATATCAAAACTCAAAAAAATGAAAAATTATTTAAAAAATAAAATTATAATTGGAAATTTAAAGAAATTTAAATTTGAAAATTAAAATTATTATTGAAATATAATTTAAGTAAAGAGAATAGCAGTAAAGAAAATGTATCGAACATTATTATTTATTAATTAAGATTATTTAATAAATAAACAATTTTTTGTTTTTAGTAAGGAATTTTTGTTTCGCAATAAAAAGAAAAAATATTTGTTCGTAAATATATTTGTTTTTAAAGATGTTTTGCCCTTTGTAAAATCCCACAAAGAATTCAAAGAAAATCTTTTCCTCACAAAAGCAATCTTTTGTTGTTTATTAAATTTTTATTATTGATGTTTGAGGATTTTCTACATATATTTTCAAACAGAAAATGGTCAATATTTTTTGGTTCGTTTCCTCTCTTTTTTTTTTGCCAACGAAAAATATTTTCTATTTATTGTTTTTTATTATTTTTCTTCGAATGGCGAATCGACTGAAAAAAATTGTGTTGTTTTAACGAATGCTCATTCACGATGACGTCTTTTAAAAAAGTGACAAAAGAATTGATAGTTTTTTTCCAACACTATTTTGATGTTGAAATAACACTTTTTTTTCTCTATACAGTAAAATAGAGGGAAGCAAATGAAATGTATAGTAAATAGAAGAGTGATTCGAGCAGAATAGTAGAATAAAGTTTTAAATTTAAATATTAATTTTTTTTTCTTTTTTTTTTTAAATTTCGTTTTAGGGCTGAATGTTGGTAATCCTATGTTAATAGAATGATTTAAGATTATAAGTTCTTGTGTATATATCAGATAACAGTTTAATGTCTAGTATAGCCATGTTATTCCAGATGAGTATTCACAGCTTGTGATATTTGAGCTGTGCGTAATGCATGCAATTTCTCCTTGTAATTACTCTATAATTGCAAAGTAAGGATCTTAGGATGGGTTAGCTCTTATTGCTAAACACCTAAGTAATTAGTCTCTGCACTTTAAGAACGCTCGGGGAGCTCGGCACTTCCAATAAGATTAGAGTTTGTAATTAAAACTCGTCACGTACGCAAATTATAAACAATTCATAAACTGAGCTAAATATTTATCTATTTATCTTTTCTTTGGAAAACCGTAAAAGAAATATTATTCTATAACTGGAAAAATTTCATGCGAATTATTTTCTTAACTTAATTCACTTCATAGTTTTTCTCAGAATATCAAAATTGAGACAAAAAACGAATCAAAAATTGTTGCGATGCAACAATTTTGAAACGTTTTTTGTCTCAATTTTGATATTCTGAGAAAAACTGTGTTATTGAATCACTCACTAAATGTAAATTAGAAAAAGACTACACTGAAAAATGAATATCTTACTTTCAGACCACTTTTGATTGACAGTAAACTAAATTATTTACATTCGAACACTTTGACTAGATTTTAGACTTGAGAGTATGATTTTAAATCCTAAAATTGACATAATCTAGTTTAAAGTAAAATCTAAAAATAGGCTACTTTTCATCATATATGAAACTGAAATTATCCAGAGTATTTAAAGAAATTAATTTTTCTTCCTGACTATTCCCTGATTTCCAGTCAAAATTTTAACTGAAATTCACATTTTTAAATCAATTATTTTTAGAAAATTCTACGAGAATTCAATTATTTAAATTTTAAACGTAAAAATAAATAGTTTATTGAATAATTGAATGTTTCTTAAAATGGAATTCTCATAAAGAATTTGATCAACAAATTTTTAAATAATTAAATTCTTTCGACGAATTTAAATAAAACTTTTAAAAATAATAATTGCATTTTTCAAGAAATTTAATTGAAATTGTATTTATTAAAAATAATTGAAATTCTGTGATGAGTTTTACTATTTATAAAAATAATTGAATTTCTAAAAAGGATTTTTTTATTTATGAAAATAATTGAATTATTACGAAGAATTTCTTTAAAATTTTAAAAATTAATAATAAAAGATAATTCAGTTAAACTTTTTTAAAAAAATTAATTTCAAAATTCAATTATTTTTAAAAATTCACGCTATATTGCTTTTAATATTCAATTATAATTTAAAATTTTAACTAAAATTCATTTTTATGAAATGAAAATCAATTTTTATTAGAAAAATCTACAAGAATTTAATTATTTAAATGCGCAAAAGAAAATAATTTATTGAATAATTGAATATTTCTCAAAATTCAATTCTCATAAAGAATTTTATTAACAAATTTTTAAATAATTTAATTCTTTTTATCGAATTTTATTAAAATTTGCATGAACATAATTACTTTTTTCAAGGAATTCAATTATAATTGTATGAAAAATAATTCAAACGCTGCGATGAGTTTTACTATTAGTAAAAAATAATTGAATCCTTAAGAAGAATTTTATTATTAGTAAAAATAATTGAATCCTTAAGAAGAATTTTATTATTCTTGAAAATAATTGAATTTCTGCAATAATTTGTAACTTCTCTAAAATTAAATTTTTTTCTAGTGTTTCTAAATAAAATTCTTTAATAAATGCATTTTTTTATAATTTTTGAAAAACTTCTTTGAGAATTTTCAAATTCATTCGATTACAATTCAATTTTACAAAATTTCAATTATTCGGAAATTCTGCAATTAAATATATATTGAAAAATAACAACTTTGAATAATTTCAATAAAAATCCTATTAAACTTTAAAAAAGAATTAATTCTACAGAATTTTTTGTGAAAAAAATGAAAAATTAAGAATTTCAATGATTTTTATTTGAAACTTTTTCAAAATTTAATTATTTCTAAAAATCCACGTTATAATGCTTTTAATATTTAATTATAATCTAAAATTTTAACTGAAATTCATTTTTAAAACCATTTTTATTAAAAATTTCTACGAGAATTCAATTATTTAAATACAAAAATAAGTAATTTATTAATTTCCTGTTTCTTGAAATTAAATTCTTATAAAAAATGTTATCAAAAAATTTTTTAAATCATTAAATTCTTTTGTCGAATTTTAATAAAATTTTTGAAAATAATTAAAATTCTGCAATGAATTTTATTATTTATGAAAATAATTGAATTCCTAAAAGAATTTTATTATTTATAAAAATAATTGAATCTCTGTAAAAATGTTATTATTTATGAAAATAATTGAATTATGGCGAAGAAATTTATTTAAAAATTTGTAAATAATTGAATTCCTTTAAAAATTTTTATTATTTATGAAAATAATTGAATGTTTGCGTAGAATTTTATTCAAACTTTTTTTAATAATGGAATTCTTTTGTAAAATTTTATTGAAATAGTAGATTAATAATAGATTATTTTAATCATTTCTGGTGTTAATTTAATCCTAGAGGGATTAAACTGTTTCAGATTATTTTAATCCATTTTGGGCTGCGTTCACCAAACTTTCACTTTCACTCAAAAAATTTTCACTTTCACGTAAAAAAAAAGGTTCACCTCCACTCAAAAAATTCTCACTTTCAATAATGAAATTTTCAGTTTCACCCAAAAAATTTTTAATTTTACTGTCAATTAAAAAAATTTTCATTCCCAATTTCACCCAAAGAATTTTTTTTACAAAAGATTTTTAATTTCAATTTTGCCAACAAATTTTTACTTTTAATTTCACCCAAAATAATTTCACTTTTTATGAAAAAATTTTCACTTACAATTTCACCCAAAAAAATTTCACTTTCCTCTAAAAGATTTTTAATTTCAATTTCGCCAATAAATTTTTACTGTCAATATTTCACAAAAAATATTTTCATTTTTAATCAAAAACTTTTTACTTTCATTTTCACCGAAAATATTTTCACCTTCTATTAAAAAAAATGCCCACTTAAAATTTCACCAAAAATTTTTTAATTGAAAATTAAATGTTTTTTTTGGCGAAATTGAAAGTGAGAATGTTTTGAATGGAGGTAAAAATTTAAAGTGAAAATTTTTTTTGCGTAAAAGTGAAAACTTTTTTTGGTGAAATTGAGACTGAACATTTTTTGGGTGAAATTGAAAGTGAGAGTTACGTGAACGCACTGATGTTATTTTAACACCTCTCGTTTTACTGTGTTTCAATTGGTTTTTACCAATTTAATACAATTGAATACAATTGAATGTAATTGAATATAATTGAATACAATTGAATGCAATTGAATGCAATTGAATATAATTGAGTGCAATTGAATATAATTGAATATAATTGAATACAATTGAATGTAATTGAATATAATTGAATACAATTGAATGCAATTGAATATAATTGAATACAATTGAGTGCAATTGAATATAATTGAATATAATTGAATACAATTGAATACAATTGAATACAATTGAATGTAATTGAATATAATTGAATGCAATTGAATATAATTGAATACAATTGAGTGCAATTGAATATAATTGAATACAATTGAATACAATTGAATGTAATTGAATATAATTGAATACAATTGAATACAATTGAATAAATTATGTTTTTCACTGATTGTCAGTGAAATTCCACTGATTCATTAAAGAGAACTCGTCCACTGAATTGAAATCAGTGAAATTTCCACTGATTAAAATTTAGAGTGAAGAGTCATGCTTTTTAAAGATAAATTTCTTCTGAGCTATCAGGAGTAGTATTAGTATTTAAAATTTCCTTTTTAGAGCACTTCCTTGCTGAGAAAACTGTTAGCAGCCGAGACTAGATAAATTGTTGACTTTAGCTTCAGCGACGTTGAAAAAAATTAATTTGATACGCCTATGTTACAAGTTAATGTAGGAGCGGGTAATTACATGTTTAATTCAATAAAAGGTTCTTTAATGGACCATAATTGAGTGGAAATAAAAAGCTTTCTGAGAGGACTTCATTAATCTAAAGCGAGGGGGGGGGGGAAACGGAAGGAGGACTATCTCTCTCTCTCTCTCTCTCTCTCTCTCTCTGGGTGTTGAGAGAAAAAAATCGATTCGCCTTCCTCGAGACTTTAAGATTACTATCACGTTCTTCTTACCTGGGAATAGGAATCTTCCTGATAAGGCGTTCTGCGATGACAGTCGTCGAAACACATTCCATCGTAGCTACTGGGTGGGCGGGGATAGGGATCCTGGGCAGCAACTGCAGCTGCGGCTGCACAGCAATCCGGGATCTGTGTCGTGTAGGTTTCATAGGGACATTTCTCCGAAATAATCCCAGTCCGGGCCGCCTGCTGCTGCTGTTGCTGCTGCTGATGTACCCGTTCCTGGGGCCCGGTTCCATAATTTGACCCGTGATGCATAATCGTCCAAATCCACGCCCAAAGACCCCCGTGATCTTTACAATCACTGTCGTCGCATTATTATTTTCATCATCATCAGTGCGCAGGGATTTTGAAACCACTTCGTCGTAGTAGTAGTAGTCAAAGTCACACGTCCCGACAATAAATCGCACGCTAACTTTGTCTCTGCAGGAAAGTCACTACAGTCCTCGAATTCGTCCATCCTCACTCTCTACCCTGGCCTCGAGAGCTTGTCTCCTGTGGAGGCCCCCCGGGGTCAAAATATATTCGCTTTAGGTCGTGCTCGGATCGTTATTTCATTCTTTTCACCATCTCCTGCGTCCAATTTTCAATCCTTTGTCGATTCTTACTCGAGAGCCAATCTTTCGTTGGTGATTTGACATTTTTCTTTTGCCTTTTGCCTTTTTGGAAAAAAGAGAAAAAAAAGAAATTTTATTCAAGTGTACTTGGGAAAAAAAATCTACTTTACAAAGTTAATTATAGTTATTTAATTATTATTTTTTGCAAAAATTTGCAAGGTCCTTATTATAATTCTTAATTATAATTTCCTTATTATAATTATTAGTTATTTAATTATACAGGCAGCACAGTATCTTCTGTCACTGTTAATTCTTCTTAAAAGTATCAAATTGCAACAAATTAATACCAAAAATGTGGATCAAATTAAAAATTGATTCAAAAGTTTTGCTATTAATTTGATACTTTCAAGAAAAGTGTGATCCTTAAAAAAAGAGTTTTTCTGCAGATATTAAATTGAGACAAATTCGGTAGAAAATAACACTAATAAGTTAAAATAACCCCAAAGAAGATTAAATTAATTAATTATGAATTTTTCGTGAAAAAAGTGTCTTTAAATCAAAATCAAATAATTTTTAAAACAGTTTAAAAAAATAATCCTTCGTCGAATTATTTTAATCCATTTTGATATTAAAATAATATTTATCAAATTAAAAGTATGAATAGTGATTTTTTAAGGGTTTTTCACGAGCTACAAGTTGGTGATAAAAAAAAGTTGATTTTTTCCAATTTGACCTTGAAATTCAAGGTCAAATTCTTATTTTTAATATATCTTAAAATCAGTTTTTTTAAATATTTTTCTAACCTATCCCAATGGAAAGCTTCCTTTTTTTCCTGTGAGCCATGTAAAAATCAGAGTGGGACCTTGAAAATTTTTGAAAAAAATAATTATAAATCATCATTTTCTACATAAAATAATGATAAATTATTATTTTTTGCAAACATTTTCAAGGTCCCACTCTGATTTTTACATGGCTCATGGGAAAAAAGGTAAGCTTTCCATTGGGATAGGTTAGAAAAAAAAAAAAAACGATTTTGAGATATATTGAAAATAAGAATTTGACATTGAATTTCGAGGTCACATTAAAAGAAAACAACTTTTTTTTCATCACCAACTTGTAGCTCGTGAAAAACCCTTTAAACATCACTATTCATACTTTTAATTTGATTAATTTTACCTATCAATATATTAAATCGGAAAAAAAAATATTTTCAAAAAGTAAAAATTTTGAATCTCCATAACTCAAAAAATATTTTTTTTAAATTCAAAAAAATTTATATTTACACTTCTACTAATACCCAATGGGAAATGCCAGTGTAGTGCCGATGTTCACCACTGGCTTAGTACTCAGACGATTGTTCGGCGTAGTCTAGCCGAGCCTCGACAATTAGTGCTGGCGCAGTACAGAATTTTTGTTTCGCCAAAGCTTAGACAAGCCACGGCGGCAAGTGCTGGCTGAGTATAGAAAAATTGTTCACAACGCTCTTTGCCAACATTGCTTTTTTGACATAAACTTGAAAAAAATTATAAAAAAAGTTTATAAATGTTTATAAATATAAATTTATTGAAAAAAATTAATATTTTACTTTTAAGTTGTTCATTTTTTATTCTTATTAAATTTAATAATAACAATTTAACACAATTGTCTAACTTTGTAAATAATACATTATTTAAACAAATTAAAATTATAAACAAAATTTAAACTTTAATCTCAATAATAATTTGGTTCCTATTAAAATACTATTATACTTCTTACTATGAATAAAGTAATTTAATTTAATTATTAAAAATTTAGTTTAATTTATTATTTCTAACGTATCCCTATTTTTTTCTCATCTTTGACTCAATAATTGTATGTCTGAATGATACTGAGATATTACTACTTTTCTGTACACATGTGTCGTTAGCATAGTGGTTAGAGAGTTAGTCTGTTACTCCGTAGGTCGTAGGTTCGATTCCCCTCGTCAGCAATTTTGTTTATTTTCATAGGTTTGCGATATTTCTAGATTCCAATCGTTAGGTACTAAAATATGAAAATGTAATGCACACTTACTGTAATTGTTTATTATTTAATTTTTAAATGTTATAAACAATTTTTTTCTACTTCATTTACTATATCCATTGTTAGTCTCCATCTTTAATACAATTTCTTTAAGAAGAGAAATATTTTATGAATAATAACTATTTATTAATATTATTTGCCATTTTGTTGTTAAATTATTTATAATTATGAATTTACGACTAACTAATAACAATACGGCATTTATTGCGGCAATATTCTCAGCCAGCACTGGTCCAGTGCTGCGCCAGCGCTGTCTGGCAGCACTGACAGACAGTACTTCGGCAGCGCCAGACGGCGTTATCATCCCAGTGCCATGCCAGTGCTGGCTCTCAGCCTTGCCGCCAGTGCTGCCAGTGCTGGCGCAGTACTACGCCAGTTGTAAATTTCCCATTGGGTAATAGTAACATTTTAGCGAAGTTTATAATAATTTTATAATTTTATAATAATTTTCTTTAAAAATTCAATAAAAATAATTGAAATTTAGAAAAGTTTGTGAATAATTGAAATTTTGTAAAATCGAATTGAAAATAATTGAATTTTATAAGTTTTATTAAAGAATTAATTAATTAATTAATTATTAAATTTATTATTTAATAATATTCGAGTTTTAAGACTTTTTTATTGAAATTTTTGAAAATAATTTAATTTTAATAGAATTTTATTGAAATTTTGGAAAATAATGAAATGTTAAGACTCTTATAAAATTTGTAAAAAATAATTGAATGTTAAAAACTCTCATTAAATTTCGTATTGAAAAAAATTTAATGTTGAAACTTTTATTAAAATTTTAAAAAAATAATTGAATTTCAAGAAAGTCATTAAAGATTTTTTTTTTTGAAAATAATTGAATTTCAAAAGAGTTTTATTAAAATTTTTGAAAATAGTTGAATAAAATTTTTAAAATTTTCTTTGAGAATTTATTTTGTTAAAAAAAATGCATTTAAAGTAGTGTAAAATTCATTAGTGTAAATTGTTAGTAGTTACCAAAAATAACAAAATTCAAAATTTGTTATTACTTTTTATTTATTTTATTTTTTTTCAAAAATTTTTAGAAAAAATTCTTTATAATAATTAAATTATTCTCAATAAAATTTTAATAAAATTTCTGGAAAGAATTAATTTATTTTTAATTAATTTTAATAAAATTCTGTATAATAAGAGGTCAATTATTTTCAGAATAATTTTAATTGTATTCGTCAAAAAAAATTCTAAGAATTCAATTATTTTCGTACATATATGATAAAATTTTTAGAAAGAATTCAATTATTTTCCAAAATTCTTATAAAATTCTGTAGGTATAAGAATTAAATTATTCTCAATTCAATTTCAATTCAATTATATTTTTTTTAATTTAGTTGTATTTTTGAATATTAAATTAATTGAAAATACATTAAAATTATGACAAAATGAAGGACTAACTAAATATTATATTTAATTAAAACATTTTAAAATTATTAAAATTTCATGAAATTCATTTTCTAAACAAGTGGATTTCAGAAATATTTTTGGTTAACTTTTTTTCTCTTTAAATGAAAAATTGAATTTTTGAGGAACTTTCTCAAAAATTATCAAAAAATAATTGAATTCGAGAAGAATTTTAGAGTTAAAAATTGTATAAAATAATTTTGAAGAAGTATATATTCTTTAGGGTAAGGGAAAAAGTCAAAGTTCTGTCTGGAAATCAGGGAAAAATATAATCCAATTTTTGTGACAATCCTGTAATATAAAATATATTAAAAAATATAATTAATAATTAATAATCTAAATAAAAATAAAACGCACTAAATTCTATCATTGAGTCTAAAATTTTTGGAGACACTTTGAAATATATTTCAAAAAGAAAAAAAAAACAGAAAATCTTCTTTATTTTTAATTACAAAAAGATGCAAATCGAAAAAAGGGAAAAGGTGACAAAATCTTAAAAAAAGTTTCAAAAAAGTGACAAAATTGAAAAAAAAGGAACAAAAGAGGAAAAGGTAGAGACCTGTGATGCCTGTTAATTTAAAACGCTATTTGTGAGACCCTGGGAAAAAGTGAATTTGATTCTTAAAAATAATCATATTTAAACTCGAGTATGCAATAATTCTCGGGCGTAAATTTGAAAAGTAATTCTATACCGCGAGGGAAGTAGGGAATTTATACCGCTGGAAAAAAGTAAAAAATGTGCTCTTTTAAGATGAAAAAAAAATTCTCGAAAAAGCTTTTATGGTTTAAAAACATATTGCTATATCATATCCTATATATATATGATATAATCATAAAATGCTTTCCGTTGCAAGGGAAGAAATTTTCCTTGATTTAATAAAATTTCTCTGATTTCGTAAAATAGTTTCCGTTGAAAGGAATGTCTTTTGAATACGAAATTTAAAGAAAACCTCGAAATAAATTGGTAAAAGCTTTAAATATATACGATTCTTTTTATAATTGAGGTGGTTTCTTTTTTTTTGCTGATTAGATCTTTTCTGCCATTCAATGAACCGCATATTTTTTTTACATTATAAATTGTGATTTTATATAGTTCGCTCTATATAAAATACGTATACGAATTTCTTCTACTTTTGCAAAAAGTGTTAATTTTTAACGTAAAGATTTTAAACTTTTAATCTTTTATTTTTAAACTTAAAATTGTAAATATATATTTCAAAACTATTTTCGCTATTTTAAAAACTTTAAACCTAATTTGCTTTTTTCAACTCTTAGAAAAAAACTAATTAGTTAAAAAATTTCTACTAAGAGAACGATCACAAACTGCGTCATCAAATTGAATTTAAAATGAATTTTATTTGAACCAATAATTTTAGTATTTGAAGCAAATAAGCAAATTTAATTTATGATAATTCAAATAAAAATTATTTGAAGTAATTACACATTTTTTTATTTAAACAAAAATTCTTTTTAATAGTAAATATTTATTGGTAAATGTTTTTTTTTAGGTTAAAATTTATATTAAACGATGATCGTGATCCAAGTAAGGGATTATTTGATAATAGACAACTATAATCGATTATTTGAATCAAAGAAATTTCTTCTTCAGTGAAAAT